TTTGTTGTTGACTCCGGTTATGTGACCGCCTTACTAGTAGGCAGTGGTTGATAGTGTTGTCGTTGGGAAAAAAACCACTTAAAATAGCCTTTTGTTTGGCTTGGTGTCTTTCCCGAAGGTATCCGACGATGCCAAACTCCATCTTCATGGATACCTCATACTTAATTTCTCTTTATAAATCCAAGATTTTGTTTGGTTTTCGTGACACGGATATTGTTAAAATGCACGGAATCCGTCCTTGTTCCTTCCAGGTCTTTGAGGAACTTGGAAGTTGCATTTGATTGAGTTCGTGGGAGAAGGCGACCGTCAAACCAACAGGTACCCATATAAGCAACCGAGTCACATAAGTCTTTCATTGCATCACTCTGATTTCTCCCCAAGACATCTCTCTTTTCTGCGTTTGGTGTTTATTGCTCTATCCACTGTTAGTAAAAAGAAAGAGCCGTTAACTTCCTTCTGTAAAAGGACTTAGAATATGGCATGTATTATGGCCCAGTGCAGGAGAAATTTTTGCTCCCCTAAAACAAACGTCACCACGTGTTTTTTAATGCAAGTAATTAACATTAAATTAAAATTTAACTAAACATGTTTTTTTAATGGCCTAATCTCAGCAGCCACCAAAAGCATGTCTTATTTGCACGTTCAATCACGCTACTCACTCTTACAAAATTATATTTTACTAAATACTATTTTAAATTTGATTTAGTTATTGAGGATTATAATATACATTATAAAAACATTAATATATATATATTTATTTTTATATTATATATTGCATTGCATGTTCAATTTAATTTTTTAATTCCAAATTCAACTTTATATTATTCTTTTCCTCTCATGAAATCAAATAATCAGATTGCCAGTACGTTGATAAAGGGTGGGTGCATCTTTTACATGAGTACCTTATTCCAGAGTCTGAATTGTTATTATTAACGAATGTCATTTCAGATTAGTGTTTAATCGAGTATTAATATTTAATTAATGGCTTTAAGAACTCTGGCATCATTTCTAATGATGCAGACTCGGGAGGGAATCCCACAAAAGAAAAAATTTTAAAGCTTCTTTTTTCTTTCACTATCAATTATTATTATTTTTTTATATAATCCAATTATATTAAATGAATTAACAATTTATATTAATTAAAATTTCACCAAATGAAGTAAAAAAAAAAAAGTTATTTCAAAATTTCCTTCGCGGGTGAAATATAAACATTTTAAATTATCTCTGCAAATAAACTAATTTTATCTTATATCATTTAAGTAAATTATTTTTTTACATATTTTTATTAGTTTTTGTAAACATCATTGCTAATTCATTTAATTAATATTTTTATTACTTAAATGAATTACTAAGAAAACTATAGTAATTTTATTATTAAAAGACAGGATATTATAATGATTGTATTATTTATATTTTCTTACTTTTACTTTTGACCTTTATTTCTTTGACTGACTAACATGATTATATATTTTATTACGGGATAAATACTCGTAGAGTCTCTGTACTAATTAAATTTTTTTACCTTGACTCATAATTTAATCCAGTTAGTGTTATACATACATACATACATATATATATATAGAGAGAGAGAGAAGGAGAGAGAAGGGAGAGAAAGGAGGGTGAATGATATGTACATATATATATATATATATATCTCTCCAACTGTGTGTAACATAACCTGATTAATAATGCAAAAATATGCGTATGCATATGACAAAATTGTACACTAAATCACCTTTGATTTGTAGAAAGAGAAGAAAAATGGATGAAGATTGATGAAAAACTAAAGAGAGATGAGGTCGATAACCAGAGGGCAAAATTATTTGATTAATAACACGAGCATTTACCACTTTGAGTACGAAAGCCAATATATATAAATTTTGAATAGTTCAGTATTATATTTTACCATGTTGCATATAATTCTTTGAGAAAAGAATAGTTAAAAAAAAAACGTAGTGAAAGAGATCAAATTTATTCAGAGTTGGTAAACATGTAAAATGATGGAAAAGATTACGGGGTGTCGATTACGAACAGCTTTTTCTTTTTCTTTAGCGTAATATATAAGAACGGAAAGAAAGATTCTCTGGGCATTTACATACATTTCGCACCCCCCGACGACGTTGTATATCTATGGAGAGACCTGTAGGATTACCAACAGTAGAAACCACGTGATTTCACCAAAATTATTTTATTTAAATGGCAGTTTCCCTTTCCGTATCCCTCCAGTGGTTTCTCAACGTGCTTCAAATCTACATGGGTTGGTGATTTTCCTTATTGGTCAGCTACGTTTATTCTCTTCTCATGTCTGATTTCGCTTTTAGCTGGTGGGTTCTCAGCATCTTCTTCTTCTTTGTCTGTTTTTTGTTTTTGTTTTTTTTTAAAAAATCTTCTTATAATAAGTGTTATTTGTTTACATCCTTCTGGAGATAAACGGGCTTTGCTACAGATTAGAGTAAGTTGTTTCTCTCTGGCTCAGCTTTAGGAATTTATCCTTTGTAATTTACTGTATGATTTATGTTTTATACTACTCGGCAAGCGGGGGTTGAGTCAATGTTGGGTTTTGGTTTTAATTTCATCAAAGTATCTAATTCTGGTTTCTTCTGTCACCCATATTCCGTCGTTTTGCTTTTCTAGTGAGAAAACTCGGGAAAAAGAAAAGCGTGTTGGAAGTTTGAAGTTCAGAAGGAAAAGCTCTTGTTGACTAACAATTTAATTGCACTGGTATGGCTAAGTTGATGCTACTTGTTATTGGTTACCTGATGGATAGCAAAGAAGATTATAATAATAATTGGGAAACATTTATCCAGTTGTTGTCGTTGCTTTTTTTTTTTTTTTTTAATTTTTTTTCCCGTTTGTTTCTACTATATTACTCCTCTCTTACTTGGGCATCTGAGATTTTCTTAGTTCTTGATTGATCATCTCTACATTGAGAGTTTGTTCTCTTGCATCTGGTAGAATTCATGCTTGTTGGAATTAGGTTTTGTATCTCAACATAGTCTTTTTAAAAAATAGGTAGATTTTATGTTTTTTCAAATCTCCTACTTAGAGCCTATGCAACGATTGTAGGCATTTTCTTTGCGGAGGCACCGGGAGGACTCATTTTTTTTCGGATACAGAGATAGTCCTTCCTTGATTTGAAATGATCACTATCCGGCTTCTCTTTTCGTTGTGGCTCTATTTTGTATTGTTTCAAAGTGGGTACAGTAGGAATGATTCTTCAAGACCGGCTATTGTAAATATTGGTGCTATATTCACTTATGATTCTACAATTGGAAGAGTTGCAAAGATTGCCGTTCAGGAGGCTGTGAAAGATGTGAATTCCAACTATAGCATTCTCCATGGTACCAAAATTGTTGTGAAAATGGTAAATTCAAATTGCAGTGGATTTCTTGGGGTGGTGGAAGGTACGTTTATCTTTACTTCGTTTCCTTTCAATCAACTAAAACAATTAGTGCTTACTTGGTTTTACTGGGTAAAAAGATTCTGGTCGAGATTGGATTCTTCAGATCCTTACAAGCGTCTTCGATTATTGTATTCACAGCTCTACAACTCATGGAGACTGAAACAGTTGCAATTATTGGTCCTCAATGTTCTACAGTTGCCCATGTTTTGTCACATGTTGCAAATGAACTCCAGGTTCCTCTGTTGTCCTTTGGAGCTACAGACCCCACTCTTAGTTCCCTTCAGTTCCCCTTTTTTGTGAGAACAACATTGAGTGATCTATATCAAATGGCTGCTGTCGCTGCAATTATTGACTACTATGATTGGAAGGCAGTTAATGTCATTTTCATGGATGATGATTATGGACGAAATGGCATTGCTGCACTGGATGATAAACTTGCAGAGAGGCGCCTCAAGATCTCGTATAAGGCAAGGATTCAGCCAGATGTTGAAATTGGTGGAGGTGACATCATGAATATCCTTGTTAAGCTTGCTTTAATGGAATCTCGAGTGATTGTTGTTCATGTAAATCCTACTTTAGGCTTAAAGATTTTCTCTGTTGCAAAATATCTTGGAATGTTGGGTAATGGTTATGTTTGGATAGCTACGGATATGCTTTCATCTATGTTAGATTCTAATTCTCATCTGCCTTCTGATATCATGGATGCATTGCAAGGAGTTCTGGTTCTGCGCCAACACACGCCAGATACTGATAGAAAGAGAGCCTTTTTCTCCAGGTGGAATAAGTTAACTGGTGGCTCTCCAGGACTGAATTCATATGGGCTTTATGCTTATGATTCTGTTTTGCTCTTTGCTCATGCTATGGATGCCTTCTTTGACCAGGGAGGGACTGTTTCCTTTTCTAAGGATTCTAATCTAGCTTCTGTAGGAAATGGTAATCTCCACCTGGAAGCAATGAGAATTTTTGACGGTGGACAGCTTCTGCTGAAAAACATACTTGACATTAACATTGTTGGGTTGACAGGTCCTCTTAAGTTTATTTTAGGAACGGACAGGTCCCGTGTTCTTCCTTCATATGATGTAATCAACGTGATTGGAACTGGTTTTCGGAGGATTGGTTACTGGTCAAACTATACGGGTTTGTCAATCATACAGCCTGAGACATTGTATAAAAGACCACCAAATAGTTCAAGTGCAAGCCAGCAACTATATAGTGTTATCTGGCCTGGGGAGACATTATCAAAACCTCGTGGATGGGTTTTTCCTAACAATGGGAAGCAATTGCAAATTGGTGTGCCCATTCGGGTGAGTTATCGTGAATTTGTAGCACAGGTGAAAGGGACTGAAACGTTCAAGGGATTCTGCATAGATGTATTCCAAGCTGCTGTTAATTTGTTGCCATATGCTGTCCCGTATCGATTTGTACCCTATGGGGATGGCCGTCGAAACCCAAGCTATACGGGGCTTGTGAACCTGATAACAACTGGTGTCAGTACTGACTTCTGCCCTGCAAATTCAAACTATGTCATGTTTAGCTTTTTATTCACTGGCTAATTATTATGTTTTTCTTCTCATCACAGGTCTTGGATGGTGTCGTTGGTGATATTGCCATTGTAACAAATAGGACCAGGATAGTGGATTTTACACAACCATATGTGTCGTCAGGACTGGTTGTTGTGGCCCCATTTAGGAAATTGAATTCCGGTGCTTGGGCCTTCTTGCGTCCATTCACTCCAAGTATGTGGCTAATCACTGGTTGTTTCTTCCTTGTTGTGGGAGTAGTAGTGTGGATTCTGGAGCATAGAATAAACGATGAGTTCAGGGGCCCACCCAAGCAGCAGATTATTACCATTCTATGGTGAGTTGAATGGCCTGTTGGTAAATTGGTGTCATTTCTTTTCTTATTCTCAACAGTCTTGATGAAATGTCCTTGAACTAGTGAGGAATCACTGTGCCTGTGTACACTACTATCTCCAGGGTTTACCTGGTTGAAAATTTGAGAGTAGGAACATTTTCTCAACATTGCATGTTTGTTGAGTCATCTATTAGCATTTTGGTTTGCTTACATATTACCCATTGTTGAGCCAGTATGCCTTTGCAACGTGTCTTTTACAGTAATATCTTTCAATTAATACCCCTTCCGAGCTCAATGAAATTAATGGTTTTCTATTCTGCAGGTTTAGCTTCTCCACTCTGTTTTTTGCTCATAGTAAGTGAAAAATCAGGTTCTTCTAGAAATTTTTTATGTCCAAGGTGAGCAGCATTACTAGTTTATTTCTTGAACTGTTCTCTTTTCAGGAGAAAGTACTGTGAGCTGTCTTGGACGTGCAGTTCTAATTATATGGCTCTTTGTGGTTTTGATAATAAACTCAAGCTACACCGCTAGCCTGACATCAATCCTTACAGTGCAGCAGCTATCTTCTCATATTAAAGGAATTCAAAGCTTGATAGACAGTGATGAGCCTCTTGGATACCAAGTAGGTTCTTTTGCAGAACATTATCTGCATGAGGAACTTAACATATCAAAATCTAGGCTTGTTGCCCTTGGATCACCTGAAGCGTATGCCAAGGCGCTCAAAGATGGTCCTGAAAAAGGAGGTGTTGCTGCTGTGGTTGATGAACGTCCCTACGTGGAGTCTTTCTTATCAAAGCAGTGCACGTTCAGGATTGTTGGTCAAGAGTTCACGAAAAGTGGATGGGGTTTTGTAAGTATCTACTTCTTTCATCTTATCACTCCGGGAAAATAACCATTTGATTACCTCTGAATATCTTATTCTTTCATTAACAATTACTTCATCTTCTTCTTTTTCCATGCCATTTGAGAGGAATATTAAACATTGAAATAATTGTCGCATATGTTGAGTTAAAAACCACATGAATGGCCAGATTCACTGTGAACCCATAGAGAGACACACAGTGGATTGTTACAATTTCTGTGAGGATTTTCTGTTGCATTTCATTTTGACTCGTTGCTCCCGTGTCCATATTTTGTCCTTGAAGGCTTTTCCACGGGACTCTCCGTTAGCTGTTGATTTATCAACTGCAATTCTACAACTGACTGAGAATGGTGATCTCCAACGGATCCATGAAAAGTGGCTGATGCATAGCACTTGCAGTTTGGATGCTGGTGAGCTTGAATCAGATCGGCTTCATCTCAAGAGCTTTGGAGGCCTTTTCCTTCTATGTGGGATAGCTTGCTTCATTGCTCTCTTCATATACTTCATGCAGATAGTGTGCCACTTCCGACGTGCCGACTCCAACGAATCTGTTTCTGCTGGTCAGAGTAACTCACTTTCTGGGCGTATCCAGAGATTGTTGTCACTGATGGATGAGAAGAAGGATCCATCAACGCATGGGAGTAAGAGAAGGAAGACGGAAAAGTCAGCATTTGACGATGACAGTGATAAAGGTGAATCAGGGAGGAATACAAGGGGAAAGAAAATGGAACTGACTAATGAGGATGGCATCAACTCGAGCAATTAAACTAAGTGGATATCTTCAGAGATTCCTGATTGTATTAGCACATGGTCAGGTACCTTCTTAACCCAGGTGTAATTAGGAGCATCATATATACTTGTTTATACATGTTTCTTTATAGAAGTATTGCTGAAAGTATGAGCCTCTAGAAAATTTTGTTCCACACATTGCCTATTCAGATTACAATATATAGCAACAGTCAACCTGAATTGGTCTACTTTTTATGGAATTATGGCATGTAAATGCCACCTATCATATGCATAAAACTGCAAAAAATAAATATCTTCATATAAGCACACAAAGTTAAAAGTGCAGAAGCTCATCTTTTCTTCAATTTCATATTTTCAGTTCAGCTAAATTACATTGATATTTCAATTCTTAAAATCTTAATTATTTGATATTAAAAATCAGTTTTAATTAATCAACTTCACTCTGTGTTTTCAATTCACAAAAATATCTAATTTGAAATAAACATAGAATTTATTTGGTATTAGAATAATATTTTTATTTCTTCCTATGTTATATCTTCAACTATTTAATAAAGTTAAAATTTAAACTAAATTCAACATTAGAGATAAAAAAAAAAAAAATGTTATCCTCTCTTATAAAGAAATTTGTTTATATTCATAAAATTTGATTTATTTCAAAATTTAACTATACAGTGATATATATTTTTTTAATAAATTTAACTCAAATTCGTAATTTTATATAAAGAAATGAATGTATTAATCATTCATTGCATTTAATTATTAATATATCAGTTTTAACTTCTTTTTCTCTCTCTCGAAAGAGAAGAAAATTAATTATTTATAAAGTAGAATCAATAATAAATTTCGGTTGATATTGCAATAAATCAATCAAATTTACTATTAAAACTTATAGAAGGTAGTCTTTTTTGGCACAAATCTTACCCGTTCTTTTAATATGCTAGAATTAAACGATATCTACACTCCATAAAATCGCGACAAACATGCAACTCATGTACCAAGCAATGGTTCACTAAGTGAGATTAACAACTTTCAAAGCATTAGATTCAAGAAAAATACTAGAGAGATGCTTCTCGATTGCAAGTTCAAGACTCGTCTTAATACTTAGAACCTCGTAGTGCATAGCACGAAGGGGGAAGGATCCATTCTATTATTAGTGAGATATCATGCAATGTCATATTGTATCTTGGACAGAAGTTGTGGGACTGTAATATCACCTCTACAATCATTATTCATCTTCTCCTATATTGTTTTGGTACTCTATGGTGTGGTTTCATGTGAGAGGTCTCTCAGAATAGTTTCTTTAGTATAAATTCTAAAATTTATCTGTAGTAATGACTTATACCAAGAGCTATGGAGGCTTGTTTATATGAAGTGTAGTTTATAGATGAAATAGTATAGTGGTAGGAGATTGACTGCAAAATAAAAAACATAACCAGAATATTTACTGGCACAGTAACTCTTCCATTCCTTGCGTATACAAAGGTTTTTTTTTTTTTTTCAAGTTCTTATATCTAAATGTTACAGTAATGAAGTTCTAATTTAGGGTTTAATTATAATGACATTTTTAAAAAAAACAGAAGGTAAACAGTATTGACCAACTATACATATTTTTTGTAATAATTTTTCAAGTGAGAATTCATACCAAATTTGCTCATCCAACACTTGAATTCATACCTTCTTGTAAAGAAGTAGAAGTTCCAATTTTCGCAGGGAGGAGTAACAGTAGTTGGTTATTTACTGTGAGAATTTAGTATGAGTGACATGATCACTGAATCGAATTGATTGGAAAGAGAGTTCCCCAAAGGGTCCACAGGTGTAAGTAAAGATTCCATCGTCAAGAAAAACAGCAACACTTTTTTTTCAAAAGCCATTGATTGTGGAGTCAGATTTTGCTTTCCATTTTTTCAAACTTTTTCAGTCATGGAAACCAACTACGTTTCTCTTCATTAATTATACAAACAAACACAATTCAAAAGCTAATAACAATTGACAAACATTACAGTAGGAGCAGAGACCTCTGTTTCCTTTTCTGCTACATATTACTGTTGGGGATACCGGCACTTTCCATAACCTGAATCAATGGAGTTGGTAGAGGAAGAAATTAATTTCGATCTATAACGAGAAAAAAAATATATTGGAACTGGAATTTTAAGTAATATATTACTTACTGGGATCGCTGAAGGTAACGAGTCCAGTGCCCTTGAAATCACAGTTCCAGTAGTTCCTCCCATGCATCTGGTAATATATATTCATGGCGTATGATGCATGTGCAAGAAGCTTGTTTGGCTCAAAGCACTCACCACTCTCGTATATCTCCCTGCAATCCACCCCACCTGGTCCACAACAAAAATCTAGCACAGCTTGTAACACCTTGTCGTCTGAATGAGGCTTCGCCACGCACCAAACCGAAGGACCCCTCCCCACGTTACTCGACAGCTTCTCAAAAAGTCCCGCCGTTGCTGCAAAAACTGGCAGCTTAAATCCACTTCATATACCTTTGAACCATCGCCGTTAAAGATCCCAAAATTCCTTTCACTCACACCACCTTCTTTTTTGTTCTCGTTGAACAGCGAGAATACGAATATGTCGATCTTGTCTTTGGGTTTCATGGGTGTTCCTCTGTTCGACTCTGCCCGTTCAATCAACCGTGTATTATAAGTCTTCGCGTTGTCCGGTGAAGCCGCCATATCGCCCTGTTCACCTTCGATGGCCACCCAGATTCCGACACCGTTATCTCTATCGTCCGGTTGCCAAAACCGAGGGCGTTAATGGCTGATCTGACGGCATCTATTTGTGCATCCAACATGTTGGTATACACATACCCTTGTGGGTCATGAACGCCTGTGGCATTTCCCAGTAATGCGTACTCCAGGTTGACGACGCCGGGGTTGTCCCTGTACGCGAAATATGGGTAGGCATTAATGAAAAATGGCGAATCAGTATCGACAAGAAACCCGAGTATGGTGGTCATGGTGGGGATAAGGTTAGTGGCGAAGGTAGAAGTTGAAGGGGGGAAAGAGGAAGCAAGGACGGCCATGCTATGTGGGGTGGTGACCTTGATTTTCCGGTCGAGCCCACGAGCGAGCAGCACGGCGTGAATGTTTTGCATGGCTTGGACCAAAGCGTCGGGGTTCAAGTGATCGACATCTGTTGTGAGGTACTCGTTGCCGACGGCGATGAAGACGATGGAGGTAGCGGGAAGGAAGGGGAGGACGCGGGTGGCAAACCACTCATCGGCGGCGGAGACAGAGTTGCTGAGGTTGGATACGTGGTAGTTTTCGACGGCGACGATGAGGTCGATGCCGGTATTGGAAAATGCCTGAAGGATGTCGGGGTTGGTGTCGTATATCTTGACCTTGTCAATGAGCGTTGACTGGAGGAGCTGGGCTACCTTCTTGGGCGACGGGAGGTTGTTGCCTAAGGTGCCGTAGTTAATCCCGACGGCTGAAACGGTGCGTTTTGGGATGAAAAGGAGGAGGAGGAGGAGGAGGAAGAAGAATAGGTGGAGGTTGAGGGAAGAAGCCATTTGTTGTGTGTTGAGCAGTGAGTCCGTGAGTTAGTGGTTTGTGTTATTTAAAAACTATGCCCCAGTTTAATTAATGGGGTAAATTCAGTGTTTATATATATATAACCTGAGAATTTAGAATCAACCTCTTCACGTGTAATTAACAGGGGTAAAGTTAAATGGGATTTAACTATAATATCGATTATTATAATTACTGTGATTATTGTTAAGATTTGAGTATAAGTAGGGGAATTTTCAGAAAGGTAAACAGTGTAGTTTTGTCTGATCATTAATGAAATTTTGGAGGAAGACAAAATGTGACCCAGTAGATCATGATGGACAGATAATATAACTGGATTCCACATTGGAATAGTAAAAGTGAGGCACTGCCTGCCTGCCAGCCCATGTTAGACATTACCCTTTTAAGTTTATATAAAGCCAGGTTGTGTATACATACATACATACATATATATATATATATATATCTGTATATATTTGAATCAAAACACTCCAAATATATTCAGACTTGTGAGAACAACTCCTGTTAGAGAGAACAAACTAAAAAGAAGGTGCCTCCTCTTTAAGCAACATTATATCAATGGTATTAAAACATGAATTCAAAGTTAAAATGTCATTAATCAACATCAGAAAGCTCAGTATCTGCAGAAGTAAAAGAAGCTTCCAAGTACGATGTGCATCACCCTCCAGAACCATCTGTCGAAATCTCACACACACTCTGACCAAAACACAAACGCAAAACCTGAATAAGGACATAAAATGTTTACACTTGTGGGTTTTTAAGGGAGATCATTGATTTTAGGGTTAGATAAAAACAAAGATGGAGAGCAAGTTATTCTCTCCAAGAAGGATATAGATCATGAACAGAAAAACAAAGGTTGAAACGTTCCACAGTAAACTCCAACTGCCCAAACAAGATAAAAAGAGTGAAAAGAGTCTCTTCCAAAATAAAGAAGAAAGAATATTGCAGCAGTCAGAAAAAATCTTCTCAGCACATGTCCTGTCTCCACAAATTTCATGTGGTTGACTAGCTCAAGCCTCTAAATTCGCACTTCATTTCAAACTCATTTGGGTGTTGACCTATTTAATACAGGAATGAGTAAAGCATACATCATATCTTCAAAATCCAAGCTCCCTGTAAAAATACAGGGAGGAGCACTTCCTAGATAGAAAAAATGCTAATCTCTTATAGGGATATAAATACACCCAGTAAATAATAAAAGGGTTAAAAGTACGTTACCTATTTAATCTACAGTTACACGATATTGCAAACACTAGTATTTTGAGGTCAGAACCTGTGCTAGTGGGGGTGAGCAGTGTTACAGCTGAAATTAAAAAAAAAAAAAACAATGGGAAAGGAAGAAATTACATTATATTGCTCTTATATACTTTTGAAAGAACTCCTCCTCTTTACAGTATCTGTATACCACTTTGTAAACCTCAATCAAGAGCCTTGGAAATCGACTTGAAAAATAACCATCGAATCCCTCTGGAACATTTCCCAGTAGTTCTTGGATTTCCTGAGGAAGTTCCCGGTAGTGATTTAACTTGTTCCTTATGACCCGTAGTAAGTCACGCACGCTGTCAAATTTATATCGCCTGTAGCGACCGATGTTATTAAGGAATGCACTTTCCATCTTTTCGTCCCATTTTCCATTCAAAGCCAATGTTGCGGTACTTTCTAATGCATTTAAGAGTTCTGATGACTCCTCTCTATCTTCTAATTCAACCCGATCACTTGCATCACGGAGAAATGACAATCGCATCTCAGAAGTCCAAAACAAAGGATGAGGCAAAACATCCCGAGCCCTTGGCCTGTAAATGTTACTATGTATGTTTACATCAGAAGAGAACAACAACGTCCATCCAAGTAATTGGTTGACAGAACAGGTGAAAGTTCTTTCATCAGGTAAGGTTAACAACAAGAATTGGAGTGTGCATGTGATCATGCAAATTCATGCATAGAGGCAATGCTAAATGCATAAACTACGTGAGTTTTCAAATTTGAGCATATCGGGAAACAGTAAATTGAAAAAAATATCTCTTGGACTAATGAAATCAGAACTGGTATATTACCTTAAATCAGGGTTGGGATCCAAGAGACTGGTTAGAAGATCCAAAGCTTCTGGCATACTCTCTATTAAGAAAAGATCTTTGCGATCATTCACTATGTTTACATCACGTTCAATACTATCACCATAAGGATGTCTGCCACCAGTTATACAGAAAAAGAGAACACAGCCTAAACTAAACAAATCCACAGCACGTGTTTGGCGTCCATTGCGAAGTTGTTCAGGTGCTTGCCATCCTGAACTCCCGGAACCTACAATTTCCAGTAATACAGAAAAGTAAGAAAACAGATTTATGATGACAATCTTCACGCAAACACTGTCAAATCATTCTTCAAACACAGATTTGCAGTAAGATAGTCCACAAAGAACATTAAGGAACATTTATCAATAACTGGGCACGTAATTGGGTCAGTATCTGGAACTAGGGAACAAAAACACTATGTAAAAGGGCTCATCTATGCTTCACCTAGAAAACAAGTACATGCATGAGTACAAGCCTCGTCAGAACAGTCAACAGATTACTGCCCATTACCAGTTGCATTTTGTGTTAAAGAAGTCATGTCCCCGGGCAAGCGCTTGCTAATGCCCATATCTGAAAGCTTTGCCCACAAAGATTTGTCCTTGATTATCAAAACATTTTGAGGCTTTAGATCCCGGTGTATAATTCCAAGTTCATGTAAATGAACTACTCCTGAGACCACATCTCTGCCAAAATAAAAAGAAAAAAAAAAGACTATGGCATTGATTATATTAGTTTATTTTGAGAACACCAAATTTAGTAACCAAAGAAAAAGTAAAGAAAAAGATGCAGAAAGAAATTCAACTAACCTCATCAACTTTAATAAGTGGGAAGAAGGATATCCATTTGCCTTCCACAATTCAATATCCTTGTTATTTTCCATTATAGAATTTAATCGAACAGTATACTCATCCAAGAGGTTTGAACTTTCATCATGGACAGTCACTTGAATTTTGAAAGAGCCAGAGAGCACATAAATCAAGTCATTTAAGCTACAAGTACAACGTTCCAGAGCGAGATATACGAAATCTTGGTCATATTCCACACCATACCATCGGACAATACATGGATGCTGATCAGAAGCAATAAGATTCTGAATCTCCTTTAGGGCAACACCATGATGAGACTGCACAAGACGTTTAACAGCTACTGGACGGCCATCATAAATTCCCTCAAGAACCACAGTCCCATTGCTCCCTTTAGCAATTTCTTTATTGGAAACAAGTAATTTGCCAATCCTCCGCCCATCCGTGGGACTGTCAACAGTATTGCTAAAGGTAAAAAATGACTTGCCTTCATTCCCTTCAGCAAATGCAAGTCCATTGCTGTTTTCATGTTCATTCCCATATGACATAAGTTTCTGCCTTCTCCCATTGTTAATACTATTCTTATTATTCCCTGATTTCTTAGTTTTTTTCTTTTTAGATGCTGTCAGAACTTGAAATTCTTTGGGTTCTTTCCTCAATTTATCCTGTTTTGAAGTGTAAAAGAGCATACCCAGAATGGATAAAAAGGTGGAAAATAATACAGTTAAAGGTCCAATAACTTTTTCAAATATGTTCGTGCTACCCATTTTAGTAACATTTCCACTGAGCATATTCAAGATCCCATGATATTCAACCTTTGAAGGAGGCAAGGAGAGTACTTGACTATCTGTATTGTCAGGAAGAGCCAGTGGAATTCCATCAGCAGGGCCTAAGTAAGGCTTGTCATCTGGATAAGGTAAATAAAATGATCCACCCAAGCTATCAAGTACAGAGAGAAATTCCTCCAAGCTATGACTGCGAAGTCTGAAGACAACGGCGCTCTTTTCACAAGGCAATTGGAATACATTATTTATGTAACCGCTGTGAGGTGAATTATCATAAGTCGAAGAATGTCCACCCAAAACTTTCTTGATTTCTCTACATTGAAATTCAGCCTCAATCTCTGCCAAAGATACACTCCACAAGACATTCCCAGATTCTGATTTATATTGCATCACATAATCTTTTCTCATTATGTAGACGAGATTCTGAACCATTTCTTTGTCTGTGGGAACAGACTCCACCAATCCTTCAGCATCTTTTGCCAAAGCAACAGTCTTCACTTCAGCTTTCTGGACTCCCAATGTAGAATTAAGATCATCCAAAGTATATCTCTGAACTACTCTTCCAGTCTTCCCATCAAGACGATATACCGTGGTACGTTTTCCTCCCAATATGACTCCATCCTTCACTACTTTGGGTAATGTTTTGATATATTCTTCAATATTTAGTCTCTGGAGTTTGAAGACATTTTAAGTCCAGTAAAGAAATGGAACCATGGTAAAATAAAGCAACCTTTAGATTATATGGAGGTCATTTCTTTTTTTTTTTTTTTTTTTGAAATATGAGTATATGGAAGTCTAATGGGTAGTACATGTTCACTGAAGATCATACAATCAAGGGCATAAAATTGGTAACGCCTATTTTAGAAATTATTGACAGAATCCTGTAATGATAGTAAAAAATCCTAGAAAGAAACAGCATCAAGATGAAAGGTCGATAAGCATACCTCTTTCCCCTGGTTTTTGTAATATTTAAAAAGTTTCCAATCAGTTCCACAATCTACATAGAAGTCGTCATTCGGTTGGGAGACCTGATGATTCTGACTGGCAAGGTAATGGGAATCCTGGTAAGAGGAATAAATAGGCATCCCCGAAGAGAATGACCAAAGCACTTCATTTGACAAAGTGTCCACTAAGTGCATCGTCCCATCCAAAGTAGACACCAGTATAAAACGATTTTCACTAAATCAAGCATCAAACACCCAAAAAATGACGAAGGAAAGGTTAATAATGGTCACCAGGTAGATCAAAATAAATTAGCAATTGAAAGAGCTAAGGAAATTACATATTAAACAAAGTCTAGGCTTATACTCTCCAGCCCTGGAGCCACGTTTAAGCATTTCAACATCTTAAAATACATATGGCAATGGCTCTTAGAACACAATCGAAGACTAGGAAACAAAAATCAGTAAACACCTCCATCAACATCGAAACAGTATTTCTCGACAGATTTAACATTATACTCTTCAAGAATTAAACTTCAAATTATTTAAGGTTACTACTACTTACGGAGTTGGCGGCAAATAGGACTTGTAGATTTGATTGGAAGCAAAAGGCTTAGAGATCTGCGTGCCGGGCTCACCGAGAATTAATGGTGACAGAATAACTAGGAACGCCAAAGCTATTACCATAAGCCTTCTCATCTTTGGAAATTGACAAGAAAACCATGTGATAATTCCAAAAACCCCAAATTTTATACACTATGTCAATTGAAATTAGGGTTTTTGATTTCTGGGGATACAAAAATTAATCGCGCGAGCCGCGACCAACGGAATCAAGGTTTTGGGGTTTGGACTTCGGAGCTGGAAGTTTCGACTTGATTTTCCTCCACGTGGGTTTTTAGTTTGTATTTCTCCGTTCGATTTGACGTCAGTTTCTGTCGTTCGTTTATTTTACGATCTTTTTTTGGGACCAATATATAATTTGCCTTTTACACTTCTCTCCTAAATATTTCGTTTTTTCATATAAATTAACACCGTCTGATTTTGGACGGAAAAAAGTGATTTGGCTTAGCCGCGTTTGGAAAAAAAAAAAATGTCTTATGTCTCTGATCTCGGAACTCTTCCTCTCCATCCTCCATCTCTCAGCTTTTATCACTCTCTCTCTCTCTCTCTCACTCACCATCTTAATTTTTGTAAGCATTCGTTATATATATATATATGTATTTATACACGTGTACCACCCTCCGCTCTCGGCGCATGAGCAATTTCCCTTGCAGATTAACAGGGCAGGATTCTCAGATGAGACATCAGCTGCTCCTCTTCTTAATTTATGGATTGATTATGTTTGGATTCTCAGATGAAATTACTAGTTTGAAAAAATTTTAACGAAATATGTCAATAGATCAAAATGTTTTAATTTATTATTTACTGGGTCTATGGAATAAAATATGCTTGAACTGATTTCATAAACTTGATGAACAAGGATTATTCCATCCATGTTTGGAGCAGTGGGTTTGACATAAATTATTGGAAATTTCTGTTATGTCTCCCTCAAATTGTCATTACATAATATTTTTAGAAGTATTTTCTGAAGAAGAAAAAAAAAAATTGAAAAATTTGGCTGCCCTGGTAAGTAAGAAGAATTAATTTTCATAAACTTTGCACTCCTCATCAGCTGGGTTTGTCTTGCAGTAGTCTTCCAATGGATCTCCACTGTCTGCTGCAGTCATTCCTGGCCACTTGCTTGCCACTAAATGTGCTAAATCAACCACCCTTTGGCTGCAATTCACATAATATTTTACTTTCAATCAGCAAACTTAAACCAATTCAGAAAGTACACAATAAATTTTTAATTGAATAATTGATATGTTTTTCGTTTTATAAGAATTTATAAGTTCGGGTCAAACTGTGTTTTCTCTAATGTCTTTGGTGACTTATATTATAATGATTTGCATGTGTTATCCAATTAATGAAACGTAGGTATTTATATTGAAATAAGAAAAAGAAAATGATATAGTTACCTGTAACCCCATTCGTTGTCATACCAGGCAACAACTTTGACCATATCGTCTCCCATGACCATGGTGAGAGAAGAATCAATGGTGGAAGAAACATCAGAGCATCTGAAGTCAACGGAGACAAGAGGAACATCACACACATCCAAGATGCCCTTCAATGGTCCCTCAGCAACTTTTCTGAAAGCTGCATTCACATCCTCAGCTGTGATGCCTTTCTTCTCAACATTCACAACAAGGTCAACAACTGATACATTTGGTGTTGGGACACGAAGGGCAATCCCATTCAGTTTGCCTTTCAGCTGGGGTAGCACAAGGGATACTGCCTTGGCAGCACCTGTGCTTGTTGGCACTATGTTCAGTGCTGCAGCCCTGGCTCTCCTCAAGTCCCTGTGTGAAGCATCCAAAAGTCTCTGCAAATAAACAACACCCTACACGTTAAAATCGATATTTCTTTTGGGGACTGATCTAACACATAATCAAGTAAATGGATGCGATAATAAGTATTGCAAAAATCAGAAGCCAATGAGATTTCTGGGTTTGCTTCATTACCTGGTCTCCTGTGTAGGAGTGAGTAGTTGTCATTGTACCCTTCACAATTCCTGCAAGTTAATCCAATCTAAGAAAAAACCATATTTGAAATTGT